TCTTTTAACTTCTGTTTGTTGCGAGAGATTCCACCAGTCAGCACAATCGCCTCTTGTGTTTCAGATGCTTCTTGATTAGTTTTAAGTTAATTCTTAAGTCGTAGGCTTTTGTCTTCTACTTATAGTTTTACTCATGCTGTCTCTATTTTTCTGTTCTTATTTCATTGAACGAAACAAATCGAAAAATCGTTATGCCATTTCTTTAATTTACGTTACGAAACTAATGGACGCTGGTTCCACGTTGCTGTAAGTACCAAGTGTCCAGCTGCCTGCAGCTCTCACCCAGGCAGCTCAGCGCCGTTTCGTTTCGTGTCCACCAAACTCATGTCTTTCCTGTCAACTAAACCTAAACAAGATTCTTGCAGTCTTTCATCTACCCAATACTTGAAACCCTCAATACAATTAACAAATGCATACGAATTTATATATTTTTATGTCTCTGTTGTTTGTCACGTTACTAAACAAATGTTATATTACGCAACAATTGGCCGCCTACGCTTTTCACACACGCTTTTCCATTTCTGACAATTCGCCACAAATCGATCAAAAATTTTCACAAATATTAATTGTAATTAACTCTTTGATTTCTTTTATACATATTTGTTGCTGTCATACAATTTTCTAACACAAACAAAAACATGCTTTTACTTACACAAACATACATATACACCACACACACCAACATCCACACATGCGGAAAAAACAAAATGTGATACGTTTTCAATGTAATCAAAATATGTGTATAAATGAAATAACAATAATCAAATCGAATCAAATCAAATCAATTCGCTGCCAATAGCAACGGCAGATAATTGAAGCTTGTATCACGATGAAGGTATGATGTATATTCCAGCTCTACTAACTAACTGCTCTTAACACCAATTAACTAACTAAGCATTAACTACTAATCACAACTGCTAAGCATAATCGCCACAAGCAACTTAATTAACCTCTTCATTGAGTATCACAATCACTTTGTACACCTAACCTTAAGAACAGCATCTGAACTAAAACCTAAGCAATGATATATAATATTCAAGATAGTTTAACAACTCATTTCTTAAATAGTTAGTTTGATAGTTAACGCAACATGCCAAAGCACAACACTCACACATTGCAGAACAAATAATTTACTATAAATTATAATTTATTTTTTATTTTATTTTTTTTAAATTATAAAAGAAAAAGGAATGCAAAAAGGAATTTTTACTAATTATTTTTATTATTAATCCTTTCATTTGTTGGAATTTATTTGACTTTCTGTTCAGGTCCTTATTTGCTTTTATCTCCTATCTGGCGTCTGCTATACGTTGTGAATGTATTTGTATACAATTGTTGTTCCATCATTTCTGTCTTGTATAGTTCATTGCACTTCAACATACCCTATAAATATATATATATATAATATATAGATACAGCTGAGTTCACTGACTAATTATGTTATATATTCGTATCTAGAATTCACTAACTGCGGACGGCCAAAAGGAGGACTTTAGCGATCTGCCACCGAATCAGCAGCGCAAAAAGCTGCAGGCGAAAATTGCCGAGCTGCAGCATAAGGTCGATCAGGAGACGAACACCCGCGATGGTCTGATGAAGATGAAAATTGTTTATGAGGCAAACTCCTCGCTGGGCAATCCGATGACCGTTGAGGGTCAACTGAACGAATCCGAGCACGAATTGGATAAACTGAAAATGAATTTGAAAAAGTATCAAGGCTTTTTGGACAAGGCTAATCAGCTGCAGGTGGCCAACAATAGTCCGCAATCGAATCGTAATCAATTGCAAAACGGACACCGAACATCCAGGTGAGTGTCCTAGTCTTATTAAAACATTCCAATAGTTCTGCTCAATTGTACTGTAATGCTTGTCTTGTTTTCACAGACATTCCAATGGCAGCGCCAGCGCTGATGATCATCATGACGCCGATGATCAGCCCGATGATGCTGGCAGCTTAAGCAGGTCAGATTCTGAGGATAATGTGGCGCAAATACAAAATGGGCATAATAATAACAATAACGGGTACACTCATAAGTCTACGTTCAATGTTTATATATACGCACACACAGCTACACATTAATACAAACACATACACACACACACACCTACATACACATCATTCGTACATTATTGTAAATCGTATATCACTTATGATTTGGCTCGTTTTCTTACTCATTTTGTATAATTTTCATTGTACATTATTTGGTGGCATTGATTTATTATTTTGTTGGTTTTGGTTCCTTTTGTTCAGTTATTTTTTTATGATTTGTCATAAGCAAAGTGTTTGAATAATAAGAACAAGTGCCCACTAAAGAAAAAAGTCCACAATATGCCAAAGAAACAAAATTTGATCTTATTTGTATTCAATTTACTAAATTCTTTTTAGTTCGTAATCATTTTAATTGCTTACACCATACATATAACACGTAATAATATCCAAATTGCAACTTCTTCAAATATTTCGTTTCATTTTGCCTTTCCATGGTGAAATCCAGCAGTTCGGCAAGTCCCGAAAGCGGACTAGGCACCTCGCACACATCACTGCCCGGCTCCGGACAGGGCAGCGCCAATGAGAATCCAATTGGCGAAGAGACGAGCTACGAAGCGGAGGTGGAGCTGCTGCAACCACTTGGGACATGTCGTGCACTATATCCCTTCGAAGGTACGTATTTAAATATTGCAATATATAACAAAATACTAAAAGTTTAATATCTTCTCTATGACAGCTACCAGCGAAGGCAGCATACCCATGAGCGAGGGCGAGGAGCTGCAAGTGATTGAGAATGATCAGGGTGATGGATGGACGCGTGTGCGGCGGGCGAACAACTCAAATGGCTGGGACGAGGGCTTTGTGCCCACGAGTTACATCGAGTGCACACTCTTTGCTTAGATTATATTAGGCGGCAGGAGCGGGCAGTTAAACAAATTTTAACTACTTAACAGCATTTGCATATGTTCCATACATTTGTGTACTTTTGTCATAACTTTGCGTTATTCTGGACAGCCATAAAACATCAATACCACAACTATCACGAATATACACATTCTCACTCTCACACACACGCATCTTACGCACAACCATGTACATTCGACTTAAGATAAGCTAAAAATATCATTTTCTATTCGCCCATTTGTACACTTACTTTGATTTACTCTGGCATTGATTATGAAGTAGAGATATCAAATGCGAGCACTAAACGTAGCTACTTATTTATATATATATCTATATATATATAAATATATATATATTATATATATAAATATATATATAATATGTGCACCCCACGAGCAGACCTCACCTAATTGTAAGCCAAACTGCAAATTATTCCCTTTTTCACAACAAAACAAGTAAAACAATCATGTATTAACTATTTATATACACAATATATAAAATGTAATTTAAATGACACTCAGAGAAAAAAAGAAGAAAACCACATGTTTCATATTCATCATGAAAAATTAGCTGGTAAACATATTGAAAGTATATTCATAACGAAACGCACCTGGCAATATGCTTACTAGATTTATTTTTTATAATCACATTTCATATTTAATGGCACCTGCTACTTTTCGAGCTGACCAAGAAAAGCAACAGTTATTGTGGCTATTAGATAAAGAGAATACACTAAATGATTGCACCATACATCATTGATAAATATATATATATAAAGTATATACATATATACACATATATAGAAAGAAATGCATTAAACTGGAGAAGAGAAAACGCTTCCCTGGACCACATTCAGCAACATTCAATGAAAGTCGACTTAAAGTGTTAATTATAGCAAAAGTTATGACAATTTTGCATTGTGCATGAGGCATATGCGAATTGGAGAGCAAAGAACGCGTTAGCTTGTTAAATATGGAATAGCAACAATTGTACATTTTACTTTACACTTTATGCATAAAACAAAAACAAAAAACAAGAAACAAAAAACTTAATTATAATTTTATACCTAAATAACTTTTGTATTGCTTTTGCCTTGTACATTTTCACACATACACACACACATACCTATACACACACATATATATGTTTAAACTATGAGATGATGAAAAAGAGCTAAACACAAGATTTAATTAAAATTCAGAATAAATTTTGTTTTAGGGTCCCTTAGTTCTTTAAGTTGACAACTTTTAAGACTTAAGTCAAATGCAAAGCCACTCGGCGCTACCTTTTGTTATGTTGAACGCCGCTTTGCAATACATTTATTTATACTTTACATACATAATATATACTATATATATATATATATATAATGGAAAAAAAAACATGAATATATTAATAACCATAATCAAAAGTTAAAAGTCTGCGGCATAGCGAACGCTTCGTAGGCCTGGCAAGTGAATTAGTTTCTTAGTTAGTTTCTACTGTACTAGATTTTTTTTTGATTTGGCCCTCTGCGCGGCGAATGGTCCGTTTTGTCTGTAGTCTGAGTGAACTTGCTCTATAAACTATATACCTAAGCAGGTTGTAAATATGCCGAAACAGCTATCCTTGCATAACTTTTCTGTTTTATTTTTCGCATCGAACAAGTTTTTGAAGATTTAGCATTTATACTGATGAACAATTGAGTGTGGGTTACCTTGTTCAGTAAACTAAAACTAAACTAACAGAAAGCCTAAACTAAGCAGAAAATATAATTCCAAAATTCTGAACTATATATAAATTATTCTTAATGAGAAGATGTTTTTCATGAAATGAGAGCTGAGCAAAATTGATGTGGCAATTGGTGTCATATGTGGGCGCGGTCGTCCAATCTAAGAGTGAACATCAGAACATATGTAATTATAAAATAAACGAAATAAAATGAAAACTTATTGAAGCTGTTCTATTTTCAGTTGGTGCTGGTCTTGGCTAAAGCTAAACGAAAGCTATTTGGTATGGCATACGCGTTCAAAGAGCTGGCGCCACCTGTTGACGCGTAGCAGAAGTTAGAAATAGTCTGTTCAACGAATTTAAAGATTTTGCTGGGGTGTTTTACGTTTAGATTTAATTGTCAGTATTATTACTATTTATTATAAATTTTATTAGCGTAGCTTTTATTTGTTTTTACTTAAATCTAACATGGCTGCTGCACATATAGACGACGTATTGGATTTAATTGGTAACTATATGGCCTATATCAGCTTAGTCAGTGAGCAATTTCGCCGTAGGCTTCGGTTGGATGCAATTACTGATGTGTATCGCCTGTACCTTGGCCAGCATATTCATTGTCAATGAAATCGTTGGCATCAATGTGGTTTCCGTTGACATATCTTGCGAGTTCTCACTGTGCAGTCTCGAAATGTCGCTGTTGTCCAGCGCTGGCTTTGCTGGCTTGATTTTGGCATCCCATTATGCGGGCTATAAGACGGATCAGATCGGCAGGCGCAAAGTGATGTTGTATTCGTTAGGCATGGCAGTGACATCGTCGCTGATTTCATTATTTATGCCAAATTTTTATGTATTCATACTATTGAGATTCTTGACCGGCTTTTTGTGGGTACGCCCATACGTTTCGTTTGGCTAATACTGTAGCAACAGCACTCTGCCCCACAGTGTCTCCGGTGCCAGCATCAATAACATTACGTATATCTCAGAGTTCACCAAAGTTAAAACACGCGCCTCGACTATCAACCTCATGTGCTACGCATTCCCAATCGCTGCTATTTATTTGCCATGTAAGTTGCAACTCCCTCTGCCTGCTCCGCTTCCCTGACTCCATTGCTCTCCCCTCAGTTGCCGCGTATCTTCTGGCGCCGCTTGATCGCATAATGTTTACCTTGTATAAGTTGAATTGGCGCGCTTGGCGTCTCAGTATGTTTATCAATCTAATACCGGGAATTTTATCTATCATCATCTTGGTGTTTCTACCCGAGTCAGCGAAGTTTTTACTATTCGTCGGGAAGGACAAACTGGCCTATGAGACTGTCGATCGGCTCTACAAATTGAAGCGAAAGCGGGACTTGGCAAGCATCGGCATCACGGCCATTAACGATCCAGATTCTCCTGTTAAGCTGAAAGAGAAGAGCAATTGCTGCATAGAAATATGGAGGGACACGGTGCCATTGTTCAAGCGACCCTATGTGGCCAATTTTATGATCTGCTCCATCATACTGTGTGGCATTTTGTTTGTGTGAGTGCGTCTTAATGGCTCTTTAGATAGTATTCTATGCTGGTTTTCATTCCAGGGGCACTGGCATTTCGTTGTGGTTCATGGAGCTACGTCAGCTAATGGGCAACACGCATATGACCGTCTGCCAGATGCTGCAGGAGAACAAGTCGGACATCGGCAACACGAAACACGATTGTCCCTCGAGAACGTCCATTTTAATCGACTGCATCTTCTTGGGTGGCACTTTTCTCAGCTGTTGCATTTTGCTGAGCCTGTTCCTGTTATTCATGCAACACTATCAAATACTATTCCTGTTCACAACTATCGCAACAGTTTGCGGTCTGTGCCTAAATTTTCTGTCTAGCCAGGTGCCCATCCTTGTCGCGACGGCGCTGTTCACCACGATGTGCACCAGCTGCATTCCGCTGATATCGTCGGTTTTACTTGATCTAATGCCTACCCATATAAGGTGATGGCAATTCTTCTGCTTTGGGCCGTGTATTTAGTTAATTTTTATTTTCGCAGAGGCATGGCCATCAGCATGGCCTTTCTGTTTGCGCGCTTGGCGGTTATTTTGGCCAATATTTTACTGGGCTTTTGCATGGTCTCTAGCTGCTTGCTAACATTCAACATTTTTGTGGCGGTTACACTGAGTAAGCTGTCAACTTGTCTACTTGATTTGCGCATTGGAAAAGAATTTCCCTTCTATTTACAGTGGTGGTAATATTAACGTGCCTGCTGCCCAAGTAGTATGCAAGCTCGCTCAAAAGCTCGCTGCACTGAAACGCTTTCGCCATCTATATTTCAATTTTTGTCTCGCCTTGTAGCTTTGGTCGATATTCAGTATAATGTATATGTGTTATATAAAAGATCTTAAGAGTAAATCAGAATAAGAGTACGTAAATTCTCAAATAAATATTGTTGGTTTATTGAAACTCAATTTGATATACATATATTGTTGTGGGTGTTTTTTGTTTTTGGTTAAGCTACATTTAGTAATATTAATATATGTACGTTCATATTGTTCACATCTGTCTATATGTATATATGTATATATATATATTGTATTAAATAGTTTAATGCCAGTAATTTCTAATGTTTAACAAAGTTTTTGTTTTTTTTCGTTTATTTTTATATACTCGTAAGCCATGCTACACACACTCTGCACTTTTAAAGCGCTGTCCTTAAACTTTGCTAATCCTTGTCCTCAACGCTTCACGTTGATATGGTGTTATTTTTACAGTGTTCTCTTCGTTTTCAGAGTTCAATTACAATTTGCAACGAGTAAAAGTAGTAATAGTAGCTAAGGTACAGACCGCACAAAGTTGATCAAATAGACTTAAGTTTCAGTTACAGCAATAGTTAGTATTAAGATACCTAAGATTAGCTGAAAATATCATAAGGCTTTTAGAGCCATTATAGAAAATAGAGTTTCAACAATGATTACAATAGAGATGTCTCAAAGCACAACCAATTTTTAGTTTTCGTTTCATATAATTTCGTTTAGCAACAATATTTTTAGTTTTTTTTATTATAGAAAAGATTCTCGGATCAACAGCCAAAATGTGAAGAATAATTCAACAGAAGTGTTTTTTTAATTCTTTCCTTTCCTCAATGCCACATGGAGGTTTTACCCTGACTACCCTGGACAAGTTACATATATATCTGTTCTCTTTTCCTTTAAGCAGTTGCACATTGACAAAATGGATTATTTCTTAATCTAAGCTTTAAGAGGCTTTTCCGAAAATAACAATATCTAAGAAATACTTAGGAGTAGCGCTTTATGTAGAACTTTTTCATTATATATACCACTTTGAAGTCCTTTTGCTAACTAACGGTAAAAGTTGTCGCAGCTGCAGTTACCGTAAAAGGGTATTCGTTTGAGGCTTTCAGTAAGTAGATAGTAAAAAGTTTTAGTTTAAGTGTACTCTAGTTTAAGTATTTATAATATGACACCAGTGTATGCTAGAAAGTAAATATGTTTTAACAATTTCATTTTCTCTACTTTGTTTTGTTTTTCCTTTTTCTTTTTATTTTTTTTTTGTATATTTGCCAAGTTTGAAACTCCAAGTTGAACGTTGATTTTGCTTACAAGTTTGCAAAAAAAAAAAGAAATTAATTTTTATATTTTTGCAAAGTTTTTTCTTGGTTTTTTTTTTTTAGCCAAGTATTTCATTACAAGAGATTGTCCTGTCGAAAGTCAAATTTAAGTTATGGAAGTTTAGGAATGGGAGCTGGCTAAACGGGCAGGAAGTTGGGGGATTCGATCAAAGCAAAAAGCTTTTCAACTGTCGCGTTGCGCCTACCACACAGACTACCGAAAAAATGACTACAGTAAATTCGTCTTAATCACGCTTTAGTCGCACTCGCACTCGCACTCGCTCACTCGCACACTCGCACACACTCACACACGCATGCACAAGTAGATTGTCATATTAGTTTAGTTGTTTGCGTTCGTTTTATCAATTGATATCGTTTGTTTTCCGTTTGTACACTGAGAAAGTTGTAGCTTTTGATTTGTGTTTTCTTTTTGGTTTTGCAATTTGAAACCTTTGCGGGTTTACGTATTACTGTGTATTACTGTGGCTCAAGGAATTTCAACTGCTTCGCCTCTACGACTCAAATAGTGGTTAATTAGCGCTACATTAATTAAACATTTAGTTTATATATATTATGTGTAAATATAGTTTCGTTAATATAATGTCTTCTATAGTTATACGCCTTCGATTTTCTTGCCCTTTCGTTGACTTGCCTTAACGACCTTATTGTTATTCGTTTTCAAATAGTTTATTGGATTTTCCTTTCCCTCCCGATGCATTTAACACTCACAAACACAACAACAACAAGCAAAAAAATATATATATATTTATGTATTTTTTTTTTTGTATTTTAGTTTCTGTTCTGGTACTCTCATTTCTCAATTATTGTGCTCCGAACGGTTTGCCATAGTGCTGCCTTACTGTACCTAACTGTACTTACAAAGCTCTCTCCCCATATACACAACTCTAAAACATCCAAAAACGCTGTCAAGCTCATTTAACTACTATAACTATGTGGGGCGGGGACATATAATATATTTATATATATTTGTGGGGGGTTTGGTGCTTGCTTTGGATTAAAACTTTGATTAAACAACAAATGTTTGATTGGCCAGCTTAAACACTAACAAATTGAGCTTTTACTTTAAGCAGTAGCATATCGTTAAATATTGGTGTTATGCATTTCAATTTTATTGTTTCTGTTGTCGCGCGCACTCGCGTGTTCGGTCAAGGAGAATTATCCGAATCGGAGCCGCCGTAGCTGTGCATCGGGAATAGCGGATACCAGCCACTGATATGCTGTCCAATGTTCACTTTGTCCAGATTCACCTCCGTGCCGCCCAGGCCCTGATTGTGCTCGAAGCCGACGCAGCGCTGCCAAACCATGATGACAATATTTCGGCCAAAGACATCAGCGCTCTATATGGGTGTGTGTGCGCGTAATTGGGTGCATGTGTGTATGTGTGTGTGTAAAAGTAAAATTTATTTGCATATAAATTGCATTAAAGCCAGTCGGAGTAATTACTGGAAAATATACATATAAATATAAATACAGCTCTGGCAGTGCCAATGCCCGTGCTTGCTTGATTTTCTATACTTGCTTTACGAATAGGGTATATTGACTTTACATTATATTAACGCCTGTTTAGAGTAACTATATAATTTCTACATTTTTCCAATCAAACTCTTAAAAACCTCGTAAGATCATGTCAAGTGTGTTGCACAGTTTTGTAGCTACGTTTTTGAAAATTGTTCACAGAGTATTTCGCGCTGCAGTGCAGCCTCTTCTGTCAAGCCAATCAACCCACAACTGCGCAATCTGCTGCAAATTGGCCGCCATTAATCGCATTAAAATTCAACTGGGAACAACAGCTACCGAGCACGGGCATTGAGTTGCCGGACAATGTCGGTTAACGCCATTCGAGTCATCATCATCATTGGAACGTTTGCTCACCTGGTATTTGATGGTCTGCTTGTAGAATGGCTCTGCGGCATGCCGCACTACACGCGTCTTCTTCTTGTGCCGCAAACGTTCGCCATCCTTGATGTAGCACTTGACATAGGTGTCCGGCGGCGTCTCGCAGTCCGCGTTCACAATGTTCCGTGCACAAATTAGCTGTTAAGGAGAGAAGTCATTGATGAACTGTGGTCGTATCAGAGGGTCGTTTGATAAATTGGTTTTCTGCATAATACTAAAAATCGATTTAAATGAATATTTTCATAATGGTTTTATATTGTTAAGGTCAAGCTTTTATCTTATTTCTCAGTTGACCCTCGCTTTTGATTATATACATATATATTTGAAGTTAATTTCATAATTATATTTCTTTGCCACACTTACCTCCACCTCGACATTGCCTTTAATTTTAACAAAACCCATTTTAAGCTCGCCATAGCGCGCCGTGGTCAGGCGGTAGCCCTTGGGATGTATCTGGGAGGGGCCCAGCTTGAGCCCGTAGCTGGATTCGCTGCCCGTGATTGCGGACACGTTGACATAGCTGCCGCTTAGGGTTTTCACCACGCTCTGCTTCCTCTGTGGACTGTCGCCGCTGTCCGTGCTGGTGCGCTGATAGATGCTGCCCTTTCGTTGAGGACTGTCGCCGCTCTCTGTGCTGGTGCGCTGATAGACGCTGCCCTTGCGCGTGGGCGTGCCCAGTGGGGGCGTATCACTGGACGATGGCACATAGACGCTGCCCTTGCGTTGCAGCGACTGCGAGGCATGCGCCTCGCCCAATTGAAACATGCTGCCCTTACGCTGCTGCTGCTGCAGCTGTGCGGCGCTGAGCATGTCCTGACCACGTAAATTGACCATGCTGCCCTTGCGTAGTGTCTGCTGTTGACTGGCATCGCCTAGGCCGCTGCCGAGAAACTGGCTCTGCTTTTCTTGCGCCACATTCGAGGCGGAGGCGGCTTGCTTTAGCCTGGACAATGCCTGCTTGGCGCTTTGCGGTGGTAGCTGATTGCCCGAGCCCTTCCAGCGGGGTCTAAAGCGTTTGTCTTCATCATCGGACGGTGGACTGGTCTCCGTTGTGCCAATGCCAACTGGCAGATGCTGTTGCTGCAGCTGCAACTGTTGTAGCTGAAGCTGTTGCAGCTGCTGCTGCTGCTGCTGCGACAGATCCAGTATGGAGCTCTTGCGACTATTGGGACCACTGGGCAGGCCGGCACGGCTGGCACCTGCGAAGGTGATGAGTGCGGCAAACACAAACGAAATTAATGCAATTCGGCATTGACACGAACTGAAGGTCGCTCAACTGAATGAAACTTCAACTCAATGTACTCAAGGCTTACTGGACGAAATATGAAGAGTGTTACACGGTCTATAACTAAGTCTAAGGTCTAAGAGAAGAGAAATGCTTTATGCTATGACAGAACAGAAACATGCAAATTAACAGCTAACCGGTACACCGTGCGTATGCGTGATATTATCAAGAGACATATATATTTCTTATAAGTGTATGAGAAGGTCTGTGTTTATGAAAAGCATTTGAGCACTTTTCATTAAATATATTAAGGTAATATGTGAACTCATTGTCACACTCCCTTTTCAGCTCAAGGCAATTGACACATTACACATTTTTAGTAGGTATTATTTAATTTGTGTTCGTATATATATTTTTTTACTTTTTTAACACTATTATGGGTGAATATAATATTGATGATGCGTTAAAAGTGATTGGTAAGTGCATTGTAGTATTTCAGTCAGGCTGTAAATTTTCCATCGATCCACAGGGTTTGGGCGGATGCATTTTATTATATTTATCTGTTGTGTCACGCAGCAGATGTTTATAAGCAACGAACAGTTCGGAATCTCGCTAGTGATTGTTGCGGCTAGCTGTGATTACTATGTGAGTGAGCACCGCATGTCTTGGCTAATGTTCTCCACATTTGCGGCCCAAGTGTCCACGAGTCATTTTATGGGCTACCAGGCGGATAAGATTGGCCGTCGCAAGCTCCTGCTCATCGCCTCAGTATTGTGCATATTTTCGTCATTCATGTCTTCTCTGATGCCAGATTTTTGGTCATTTTTGGCGTTTCGCTTCTTAGTGGGTGTCTTGTAAGTCTGGCAATTGCTGTTTATATCAATTAATTTGTTGTCGTCAGTGTGCCAGGTCCCGGGATGGCATTGTTAACGTACTTGAGTGAGTTCACCAAGGTCGAGTTGCGTCCCAAGGTTATCAACTTTTTATACTACGCCATAGGTTTCAGCTTAATCTATATGGCAGGTAAGCAATCGCAGCTTTATCAATAGATATCCACTCCTTCGCTTTCTACACTCAGCCGTTGCCATGTATGTGCTACCGTTGGATCTACGTTTAAGAGTTCACAAAGACTATGCTATTACCAGTTGGCGTATTCTTATGTGGGCCCAATTGGTGCCTGGCATTATTTCGTGCTTCATGTTGTGGGGTATGCCTGAAAGTCCCAAGTACTATCTATCTGTCGGCAAGTCGAACGAAGCGTATGCTGTTTTGGAGAGATGCTGTCGCTACAACAAGGGCAAGGATGTGACGCTAAAAAGCCTTGGAATTGACTCCCTAAAAAAACCAGAATCACAGGTTGACCCCTCGCTAGCTCAGAAGAGGTGAGTGGCGCTAGATTTTTGAATTACCCTTAAGTAGTCTAACGCCTACGACTATATATATTTTTTTCAGGGCATGTACACGCATCTGGTACGAAACAAAGCCGATATTCCAACGCCCACTTTTGACCAAAATGTTACTCATTATGTTTAGTATGTTTCTGTTATTTGGCACGTATGTAGCTGGCCATATCATATTATGATCTCGATCTCCTTTTCTATGAGCTATGCTTACAATATGATCTTTAAATTGTACTTTTTATATTGTTTAGGGGGTTTGGCCTAACGGTTTGGATACCTCGTGTTCTCAAAATGAGTAATGATCTCCATAAAGACCTAATCCTCTGTGATATGATAGAAATGTCAAATGCTTTAAACATCAGCCTTACCGATACAAGGGTTTGTTTTTTATTCGTGATCATGTGCTGCTGCAGTTTCATTAAAAGCCATTTTACAGTGTCATTTAAGCATGAGAACTATGCTGGCCTCTGTTTATCTCGGCGCTTGCACTTTAGTTTTCTCAGTAATGATAACCTTGTTATTGTTTTGGGTCCATCTTAAGACTATTCTCTTGATGTTCGCTGTGCTTAGCATTATGGGTGGTACCGTATTGAACTTTGTCAAATTACACGAACTAGTCGTCGTATGCTGTATCCTCTTGACGATACCTCCCTTGTGTTGTGTAAGGTTGGCTTTGTCGATACTCATCGATTTAACACCTACACATTTGAGGTAAGGTAACAGCTCTTGCCAATTAGCAATTCATAAAGTCCATTTTTTCATATGTAGGAGCAAGGCGGTGTCATTGGCCACGATGTTTGGGCGCATTGGTGTTCTGTTCACCAGTATGTATGTGGGATATACCTTGGACTTGAACTGTTTCTTTACCTTCAATTTGTTTGTTTTGTTAATGTTTGGTAAGTGGCAAATTCATATAGAGCGTACGCTTTCTGGGATTAACCTTTTAATTGTAACTTAGCTTTCTTTATGGCTGTTCTATTTCTGCCTTACGACACAAGGAGTGGCTCAATATCATAGCAATGGTAGCTTAACGTGCTTCAATCATTGTTATATCTTTGGGATACTTTTTACTTTTTAACCAGAAATAGTATTAATGACAAGTAAAACGTTTCGACAAGCGATGGGGAAGTAAATTGCAGTGAAGATGGGCAGAGAGCTCAAAATTGACCGTGGATCGCCTAATCGAAAGTAACGTAATCTGAAAACTTTTCTATTTTTGTAGAAATTAAAAAAAAAATACATTTTTCCATATAATTTTTTGCTGTTCTGGCTTTTGTTGCGTGACATCAACACACAAATATTTGCCATGGGTCTTAATTTGCGGCAGCCATAGTTGATTTCCATATTTAACGGCTTGTTTGTGGTTCATGGAGCAGACGTCCCACTGCCTCGCCTTCATATTTTTCTTTCATTTTTGATGATTTTTTCTTTTCATTTCTTATTTTTGTTCACTTGGGCCTTATATGGCTTTTCATATTTTGCGTGTCGCTGGCTTTTTTTTAACTCAATTTCAAGGCTGAGCTATTTTTCGGGCCTGTTGAAGGGTTTAGGCAGCTGTCAAGGAGTTGTCTGTGGCACAGGTAATGGGACGTGGCAACTCGCCGCACGGACGTGAGTGTATGTGTGTGTGGCTTTGCATTTTAAATAAAATTTGTTTCAGGCTGCTTTGTTGCCTGGCGCAAATAACAGCAATAAGCTGAATTAAGCTCAACCAAATGATGGCATCAAAAGTTTTCACGAGTCCTGGGACTTGACTTATCCGCTCTTTTTTATGCGCGCGCAACACAGGAATTACATATGTGTGTGTGTGTGTCTGTGAGGAAGTTGGGGATGAGAGTGCGGCTTTATAATATGCCAAGAGATGTGGCAGAGGGGAAAAGGCAATTCTTAAGCTCAGGCATCGTGCACTGGTAGCTGGTAAGTGTGTGTTAATTAAGTGGCATGCAGCTAGAATATTCAAAGGAGAAATTCCTGAAAGTCCGTTTCGAAATAAACCAGAGACACAAGCACTAGTCAGGCAAAAAAAAAAAAGCAAAACTGCAACTCAAAACTGAAACTCAAAACGAAAGTTTATTTTGCATTCTTACCAGTGGGTGAGTTGGTGGTTTTTGTGTGTTTAAATACTTTTGCTTTGCATTGCTGTTGTTGTTTGTATTGTTTTATAAATATATACATATATATATGTTTGCTATACACATACGTATACATTTTGCTTGGCAATAACATTAACAATTATGCTGGCAAGCTCAATTTGCAGTGTGGTTTTTGCAATGTGTCTTGTATAATTTACAAAAAGGTTTTTTTTGCATTTCACAAACGATTTTTGAGATTATTTTCTTGCTGTTGTGGTTTCTGGCAAAGTTCTGTAACTTAATTATTTGCCGTGCAAAAAGTGTTTTAAATTTATCTTAAGTGTGAGTTAGTTAGGAGCACTTTAGTTTAAGCTTGACAACGAAGTTAGTTTTAGTGAGAGAATTCTTTAAAAACTTGCTTGCATTATTTATAATCATTGGAAGTTAATGGGATTTATTATTTATTGCATAGTTAGTTAAATATTGTGTGATATGGTTTATCTTTTCGTGTTTGTCCAGCTAGTGTAGGGTGTGTCAAAGCTTTGATAATGCGACACCGATATTGTGGCTAATAGTGAGAAAGATATGGGAGAGCAAAGAAATTAGATAGACACTTGTGAATAGAGGCAAATGCAAAAGATAGAGAGATATATATATATATATAAAGATACAGTAGATAGATATATAGTTGCTAGAGTGAGCCAGAAAGTAAGACCAGACACACAGCAAGGCAGTTGCATAGAGTGTGAAAAGAGAAAGAGACACAGAGGGTGTTAAGGAGACAGCGGGGTATCATGACAGCTCTAGAGAGTTTGTTTAGTTTGTTTAGTTTGGCTAGTTTGGGTGGGAGGACACTTGGTAAAGTATCTTTCATTATTTGTGTTTTAATAGCTGCTTTCCATACTCAGCTGAAAGGTAAAGAGTTACACTAGGCTAATTGGTAGTCGATACTCACGTCTGGAGCCCATGCGCTTGTGCTGCTCGGTGCCCAGGCTCATGGTGCGTCCCAGCTCACCGCGTACAGCCTTTAAGGATTTCAAGATCTCATCCGGATCGCGTCGTGCCACTGAGGAGCGACGCCGACCCACAAGATAGGATGTGGGCGGCGTCGCCATAGCGTCCTCTTCCAGCCGATTCTTTTCGGCATCCTGAAAGCTAGAACGACGCGAGCCCGGCAATGAGCGCGAGAAGTCCTTACCCAGCTGGTACACTTCCACTTCCATAGTCTCTGATTGCGATGAGCCGCGCCGCGAGCCCGCTATCCAAGCATGGTCTGGATGCAGCAAAGACGCACCATCCCCTATCGAATCCACATCGTCGGACATCGAACGCTGTGTATTGTAATCCCGACGGATCAAACGTGAGACATCGCCGCAATGTGCACCAGCAATAGAGCCGCGTGGCGAGACGCTGGGCGACTTGCTGATGCTGATGCCGCGCAGCCCCTTGGGATCCTCCAGACGGCACCAGATGGCCTGGTCATCAAGAAACGCCTGCTGCAGCTCAATGTTGCACTCGCCCAAAAATATGGACTCTGTGTGCGGCACCAGATCCCACAGTTGTATATCTATATAGCGATCCATCAAGCTGTCCGCCTTCACATGGGCGAAGGTTAATGTTGCATTCCAAATGGGATTCTGAGTGGGTCGGCTGACCTCCGTTTGCTGCACGCTGCCATCGCCACTGCAGCAGCAGGAGAAACCATAAAGAGTTGAAGTTATATGGAAGGAATAATAGATGACAGATGATTATAATATATCGCTTTTCTGCCTTTCTCTCCACACTCACCACTTGGGCAATATGCGAACTTTGGCGTATGCCTCCGGCAGATTGCCATGCCCATAGGCCTCATCGCGCAGTGCCAGATCATCTGCAGCCATTAGGGAGACGACCAATTCGCTGCGCTCCGCATGATACCAAACCTGTATTTGCACGCGGCCGCTGACCATTTTCTCCCGTGCAATTTGCTCCTGCGGTTGAGAGAAGGATTAGTACTGGGTCCGTTCATGAAAAGGATAACAACTCGAAGCATGTTTTATGGCTGCGCTGTACAAGTTTTTAGCTTAATATTTAGTTAGCTGATTATATTAGCCTAGTGCCTACATATGTAACGCATTGAATCTTTAATCTTTAGTTTATAGTTCAAATCGCATATTTACAGTTGCTTGATTGTGTGGCTGTGGCTGTGGCTGTTCTATGTTGTCGTCGTGGTGGTGGTGGTGGTTGTGGTTGTTGTGTACATAACTGAACAACAAATGAAAGCAATATAAACATAAATAAGACTAATTAAACCAGTGAAAATAAGGCAAAACACGTAGATTCATATATGTAAAAACAGAGCAAGATAAAGAGAAAGAGAGAGAGATATATAGTGTCTAAGTGAAAACGAAATGAAAAGCATGCGAATAAACATAGCAAACGAAAATGCATTGCATAGCCACAGGCGCTACAACTACACACACACATTGAGATGTACACGGATGCATACACGCATGCATAGCTACATGTAAATGATGCTTAAATAAGCGCACATTATAGCACACACATGAACACACACACACCTCTACACAGAGATATATTTGTATTTACATTGACCACACGAAGCACCGCAAATGCAGTCTGCTGCGGGCACTGTCTAGTGTTATATTTTTTGCTCTGTCCCGTTAAGCGCTGTGAAACGGAAGTCATTGCTGCGCAGTTGCGCATAAGAGTCATTGTTGCTGTTGTTGCTGGCATAGTGCCGTGTTTATTATACTTGCTTGTGTTGAATATAGCGCAGCCTCATAAAATATTCATAGCGTGTACATGCGCATAGTCATAACAACAACAAGAGCAACATAAGCAGCAGCAACAGCAGCTGAAACGAATGTCGAACTGTCTGGCGTTCAGAGTTCTGCAATTGCAACGGAAGCCGCCATATTGCAATAACGTGTGTCAAAACGGAAATAGACCACACATACACACACACACAAAAGTAACTGTTGCTCAGCTTGTGAGCGTGTGTGTGTGTGTGTGTGTGTGTGTAGCAACTCTTTATGGCAGTGCCAAAAAGTTTATTACATTACGAGACACATTTCTCATCTCTTGCGTGGGCAGGCGGCATAAACGAAATCGAATTCGCAAGGGGCGTTTATAAGGCAACAGCGCGCACTTATCTACAGGTAAACAGCACACCCACGCACAGGCAGAGCGAGAAAGGCACACATGCAGAGGGCCAGGATTATTGAAGTTGATCAAAATGGCAGGCTGGTTGGCAGCGATAAGTGCCTAAACACTTGAAAAACTTTGACGCAGACGGCTGACAGTGGATTGGTTGGGCGGCGGGTGTTGCCTTTCAAAGGCAAGACCGATAATAATGACGACGCTGCTGCCTGAATTGTTGTTAAAAGTTTTCTAATTTTCGACATTTCAAACATTTTATGCCTGCCAGCTGTCAATTAAAGGCGACAGCACCTGTTGCTGACAGCACCAGGGCCTAAAACAAGGTCTCCGGACTCCGCTCTGCGCACGGTGTGCAAAAGTCAACTGTTGCCTGGTCTTTGGGCGTAATGAAAAACTCGCACGCCAACTTGACACCTGCCCCAGACGCAGAGGGAGGCATAGAGTCAGAGGCAAAGGCAAAGTAAGAGACAAACACATTGACAGAGACAGACCCAGCAGAGACAGTGTCTCAAAGTTGTAGCGCCTAAACCGCAGCTAGGCGAAGGCCTGCTGTTGCTTGCTGTACCCTTCACTCTGTCCTCCTCTCCACGAGGCCGGTTTGTGCGTGTCTCAAAGTAACTAAAATTGATAGTAATATTTGGGTATACGGTGCGTATGAATAATGTATGCAGTGCATACAGTCAAAACGTAAGACATTCAACAGATACACGATTATATATATGAACTTAGGCTGTGATGTGAGTGAGAGGCGTGCACAGAAATGTACATTTAAATAAATAAAAGTCACATAAATATTTAATTAGCTACACATAAGATACGCTTGAGAGAGGGAGAGTCGCTCCCATTGATATTTACACTCGCATACACATGTACATACATACATATACATGCATATATATATATGTATATGTATATATAAGCCGATACAGGTTACATTAACACTCAATTCATTATGT